TCTGGGAAGGAAAATAACTGTGTGTGCACACCCACACCCCTCTTTAGTGAGGCAGGTGCACAGAGCCTGGGAAATGACTGGACATCATGGATAATTGTAAAGTGGGATCAGCATTTACTCATTCTTTGTGACCTAACTTGTCTTACAGTTGCTGCCACACAATTTATAGGTCAACCAAGCCATAAAAATAAACACAAAAGCAGCGGTTTTTCCCCCTCTCCCCCTTTTTTGTCTTCAGTTAATAAGAGGCTCAGCATGCTCTGGAAGCAAGAATGAGCCTGAAGGAGAAACAAAAATGAGCCTTCTCTATCAACAGGAGCGAGATGATGTGGACAGTTTCTAAGACATGTTGCATCTCTGCTGACATGAAGACATTCAGACTGACAAGAGGCACTCTCAGCTTCACAAGGGCCCCATGCACCCTACAATCTGCTGACCCCCAACCCCTATGGCTTTGTCCCAACACACACCAAGTCTACAGTTCATGTGCTCTAAGCAGCAGGCACCCCAGATCTGGCCCAAATTACGGTAACTACACATAGCATTAAACCCACTTTTGAAAACGTACACAAAATTAAACAAATAACCCTCTCAATTGGTTATTTTTGAAGCTATATAAGCAGCAAGAAAGTGGGAAGGCTATTCTCCAACACATCCTAATTTTCTTCAACGTTCAGGAATGTAACATATGGAAAACTAACTAGGAAACACTGTTGTTGTCAACTTTTTCTATGACTACTTCTATTCATCACCAGCAGAACTGAAGCAGAGGTAACTCGAAACCCAGGAATTTACATTCTCTGGTCACTGTACTTTTATAGTCATCAGTTTCACTGAAATAATGAGTAAGTAGCACAATAAATACAGCCAACTATAAATAACACATCGGCCTCTTCCTCAGTGAAAGTTATATAAAAGCTGGAGTCTTGCTTTCCAGAGGCTGCCCACTAAAACTCAATTGCACCCTCAAATTCTAACTTGAGAGCTGCCCTTAGTATGAGTTCCACGTGCACGGAAAACCTCAGAGCAACCTTCCACTGAGTTATGATGGTGCTTTTAATGAGCACTGTCTGCCCCTTTGGGGAAAACAGAGAATAAAGCTTGAATGAACAGAACTCCTCAATCTCTGCCACGGCTGCACCACGCCGTGAACAGAGGCACCACTCGGCCCTGGCGCAGGATGCATTAACCCATGGGCAGCTGAGAGGGGCTGGCTCCTCGCAGGGCAGCAGCAGCCGCCCCATGGGGTATGTCCCATCCCCTCTGACCTCCTCAGAGCATTAGTGCCAGTCTCTGAGTTGCAGTATGAGAGCAGAAACAACCACTCTCACACTGTTTCACAACACAACAGCTCTCGGGTTGTGGCTCGGTCATGCACCTAGGCCAATGTAATGGTCTGTTGCCACAAAAAAAGGGCTTTTCCTACATCCACTCATGCCCGCTTCCTTTCTTGCTTCTTGAAGTCCCAAACTAACTCTGCAGAACAGAATCAGGTACCTTGCAACCCAATTAACAAGCAGGATTGCCTTTGTGAAGCATCCAGACACGAGGACCAGCTTCAGGAAGGAAGTAGGACTGGGCTGGAGAGTAGGAATTAACACACAAGGGGTGGGAGAAGAGGGCAGGGAGCTGAACAATCTCTCAGCAGCACCAAGCCATTAGAGTTCTCCCAGCTGTACGGTTGAGTCCTAGCCCCATTCAAGCGAGGCTGGCGGAGCAATTCTACCCCAAAACTCACTCCAAAGGGAAGATACATATTAAAGATATCATCACAAAATTTATTGCCTTCTAAAACTGGGCTACCAAAGAGGTTTCTGCCCTTCCCTGAAATTTCTGGCTGCTCATTCCTCCTCTAACACTGCCCTCCCCCTCCTTTTGTAATGCTCATATAGTTGCTTGAGTAGGTCCACCTATGGACGCTGGAATGATCAGAGTTAAAAATACCACTGGGGGAAAGAAAGTGGTGGGTATTGGGGCAGGGAAAAGAGGGTTTTGGTTCGAAGCATTTTGGTGACCAGCACCCCAGCTGGGCAGCAGCACAGCCCACAAGGCAGCACTGCTGAGGGCACCACAGCCCAGGGTTACAGATAACAGCAAGGAGGCCTTCAGCTTGCTTTGCCTCTTCAGCAAGCATCTTGTGGGACCTCATTAATGGTATTGCAGAGGGTCCAAGCAAAAACAGGAATAGAGACCCTAAAAGGACAACTGACTGACCCCAGCCTAGGGCACTCCAGTGACTGGCTATCCTTGCCCCACTCTCTCCTCCATATATTACCCTTTTCCTCCCCTCACACATACCTTTTTCACTCACAGGCCACTTTAGAAAGCTATTTTGTTATAATAATAAAGTAAAAGACACGAACCAAAACAAAAAAGTGCTTCTTCCGAGGAAGCAGTTTGTGTGTTTGCTTCGTGTGCTGAAATACCAGTGAGTGAACAGACCCTAAAGTGGGAGGACAGGATCAATAGCTTGAAGTTGGACAAGAAAGGAAAGCAGCAGCACCATGGCAGGCTCAGGCTGCTGAGTCTGTGAATATTTGGACTTGCTCCTTTCATTAAACCTCAAGTTCTGTTAGACAGGCACTTATCGGGCAGTGGTGCACAGTATCAGAAGGGAAGCACAAGGGGATGTACAGCACAGCACAGATGTTCTTGCTTTTACAACAGCTTTCACAAAACCAGGCTTGGAAAAACCTGACCTGCAGACCCCTCATCAGAAGCTGCAGAATGCCTAGGTTCATAGAAACACAGAATGGTCAGGGTTGGAAGGGACCTTAAACTCACCCAGCTCCAACCCCTGCCACGGGCAGGGACACCTTCCACTAGAGCAGGTTGCTCCAAGCCCCTGTGTCCAACCTGGCCTTGAAAGGTTGCTTGAAAGTTTCTGAACATGAGAAAGACTTCAGTGAGTACTGAGTTCACCAACACGCAAAGCTGTTGGAAACTCTCAGTCTGAGTCTTTAACGCCCAAACTGGAGAGCATTTCTCCCCACAGGCAGAAACACTGATAAACAGATCAGACAGGTAGATTGACCAATGCCTTTTTGGCGATACATTACATCAGCTAAAACCAGAAATCTGGAATCCCTCCAAATGCAAGCTACTTAAAAAACCCCAACATTACACAAACCAAAGGAATAGGCTCTGCTCGTATGTCCAGTCTACAAGCCTGCTGTGTGCTTTGAAAACTTAAGCCCTCAACCAGGAATTACTCCTAGGGTGTAATTTGCTGCGCAGTTCTTTCAACAGTGGTGCTGGCTTGAGTAGTTTCCCTCCCAAGTAGTTATTTTTAACCTAGACCAGTCTGCTACAGCCTGGCCAACTGCACAGCTACAGACCAGCAGTACAAACACATCTGGAAGGGCGAGGAGGGCACTTGCTTCGGCCTCAGTGCAGCTAAAAGAAATGCCTGTAAAAAATGAGAATGTTTCCTGTCTGTTCCAATAGAAAGTAAAAGGCTTCAGTTTAAAACCCTTCCACAGTGAAGTTACACCATTCAACTTCAATAAATTCATGAGAAAACAAACCACAGAGGCAGTGACTTAATTTGCTTATGTTCTGATCTGCAGATCAGCCTGCCCATTCAGTATACTCTTTTAATTAGCACAGTAACTGTGGGCATATGCTTACATCAGCTTGAACCTATCATGGGTTTTAAACCTAGTCTGGTCCCTCAACAACATAACTTACATGAATACAAGAAAAGTTGACAAATTTGATAACTAGAAGCAATTATTGTTGGTTGGTTGTTTGGGGTTTTTTGACGTCACTGCAAGAAATAAAGACCATCACCCCAAAACTGGAGCTGAAACCATGAGGTATTGGAAAATCCACTATGGAGCTGGAGTGTGGCAATAGGGATTCAAAGTGCAGTAAACCACTGGCCACAGAGCAGGCAGGGGTGACTGAGTGTGTGCTTTTACATTCCCAATCTAAGGACTGCTGGATTCCAAGTAGTACGTAATTTTTCTGTGGAAAATCCCCAGTATATCTTGACGGGGACCATCAGAGACAACTTGTGCTTCATTTCAAAGCCCACTTACTACTTTTGCTCTACCCCCTAATGCCGTTTACTTCCTTGAACCCAAAGGAACACGAGCACATTTGTGAGGGGATTTGGATTGGTTTCAGTAATTTACTTCTGGAGTCTGGTCCACAAGACTGAACACCCCCAAAGAATAAAGAAGCTGCTTTCAGAGCATTTTCCTTCTCTCAGGAAATGGGTGGAGTATTGCTGATTTCTTCATGTGCAGCAGAGCTTGACACTGACTGCAAAGCACTAAACCTCTTACTCGAAAGCAAGAACTCCAAATAGTAACTGTTAGAATATAATTTGATAGCGCAGCAATCCAGTTGATGTTTTCTGTAGTAACCCCCACACAAAGCCAATAGACACAACTACAGTCCCGAATTTCACCAATGGTGAAAACTGGTAAGATGCTCTGGTAAAGAATGTATATTCACAGGCCAGCTTTCAAGTTCATGTCAAAAAGCCACTGGTACTCGAAAGATCCCAGCCAGAATTCAAACAGTACAAGTGGAAGTAAAGCACTGAAAAAATCCCAGCCAGAATTCAAACAGTAACAGTGGAAATAAAGTGAGGACTCGGTTTTGCTTTACATGTTCTCAGTAACATGACGATTAAACCACAGTCTCCAGATGACAACACATAAATATCAGCCTTTAAATACGCTATCAGCGATTTATCTAAATTCCAATAGGTAGAGAAGAAATTAGCTTCATAGTCTTCCCAAAACTTTATGGCACAGAGGGTACTTGTGACTTCCTACTTCGCTCCATCCCCATCCCCAGCAGGTTATTGCTAGGGGACACTAAGAAAGTCTTCTCACTGATAATGGATATACTATCCTAGCAGTCCAGAACTCTTCAGATGTTTTATTCTATATAATCTTCGATGCTATATACAGAAATGCTTCAGGCACTCAAGAGAGTGAGCACAAAAACGCCCCACATAAAAGGAGTTTAAGCAGAATACTCACTCTGTGCCGCTTTCAACCATTTGTGTTAGCAGGGAAATGCCATCCAGGTTTATGAATTCCTGGGCAAACGTCACATCCCGTGAGTAGTTGGCCAAGTCTTTCAGTGCTTCTAACTTTGCATCCATACTAGAAGACTGGATCCTCTCATGGAGCTGTTGGGCATTTTGAGCCTGAGAGAGAAACAAAATGTACAAAACAAAGAACAAAAAAGCTTTTGTTACAATGGCAATAATGAATAAAATGTTGGTGCAAGCAGGAACAACGGCCACATTTAATATTAGTGATACTTAACACTTGCATGCTCAGAAATTATCAAGTAGCTCACATTAAAGTGACTTTTACAGCAGTCTATTCCTCATGTTACTCTTATTGCCTCTAATTATTTGGATTGCTGCAGAATCATTAGCTGACCAACGGATAGATATCCCACTGTATCAGGCAAAATGTAAGCATTACAAAAGACAGCCTTTGGCTTGAAAAGCCTGTGTGTCACATCAATAAAATTAGAAACGAAAACAAAACAAACTGCATCAGACAATCACAGTGTAATAATGGCAGCACTTTCATTTCCCTTCTAGTTTATGCACTTCTCATGACCTTTAGCAACAAAGACCATATAATGTCCTAATGAGGTGTCCTGGGTTCAGCTGTGGCAGTCATTTTTCTCCTTCTTAGTAGCTGGTGCAGTGCTGTGTTTTTGACTTTCAGTCTGGGAACAGTGCTGATAACACACCAATGTGTTTAGTTGTTGCTCAGTAATGTTTACTCTGACCAAGGACTTTCTCAGTCTCATGCTCTGCCAGGGAGAAGGAGAAGCTGGGAGGAAGCAGAGACAGACCTGAAAGGCCCAGATCACTGCTCGGGTCGGGCTGGGTATCGGTCAGTGGGTGGTGAACAATTGTATCCTCTCCCCTTGTTATTTCCCTTATCACTATTATTATTAGTGGCAGTGTTATATTATACCTTAGTTACTGGACTGTTCTTATCTCAACCCATGGATTCCACATTCTTTCCATTCTCGTCTGCATCCCACCTGGAGGTGGGGGCAGAAAGGGGAGGTGAGCAAGCGGCTGCGTGGTACTGAGTTACCTGCTGGGCTTAAACCACCACATGAGGTCATATCAGCAGAGACCAACTTCAGGCCTTCTGCTCCTCCCTCTCCCTCTTCCTTTTGTTCACACTCAATTCAAAGCTTCTCTCTCTTACAAGGAGCAAAGGAATCATTAATTCCCACATAATACTACGATATTATCACTCATACAACCTGATGCTAGATCAATATCCACATATATTAGGCTATTCTGCACATTAATGCTTCCAATACAGTATGAGACAGTGCAATCCAAAATGAACACTGACGCCGAAAAGCTAAAGGGATATTTCAATAAGCCATATTAAATTGTGTGTCTCTCTATCCAGACACATACTTTAAAATACATCTCATGTTTTCAATTTGAAGCTTTCTCTTACCTGAGCACAATACTCAAAGCTTCAGTTAATAGCTAGCTAGCTGATCCTTTTCTTAGAAAAATAATCCTCCTCACTGTATACAGATACTTGCAAAATTCTATTCCCCAAAATTCACTTCTTACCTGCACGGAATGAAAGTGAATGAGAGATTGTGTTTCATTAGGAAATAAAATTAAAGGCAAATTCCACTGAGAGTTATTTGCGCTGAGGTTATGCTTATTCTTTCTCAGCTGGAGAAGGAAAATAGAAGAAAAGGCTGTGCTGACAGACAATTCTTTTTGTGTTCAAGTAATGAATACACTCTTCACAGAGATGGTCATCTCTGCAGATTGATTCTGAGATACTGAACATTAAACAGGGAATGCAGGAAAAACCCCACCGTGTTGTTACAGATACAGCTTCCTATCTATGTAACTTTGATTGCTTCACAAACGTCGCTAAATTAAATGTCCCAATATCCTCCAAGGTCAGCAAGGTTTGTTACTTCCCATTTTTACAAAGAAAAATTAATGCACAGTCTCCAATTAGCTTCTGGCCAGAACCTACGTGGTGAGGAGTGTGTGT